AGCCTTATCTTACCACCCTATGTGTGTTCAAGGCCTGTTATGGGATAGCTTTACCTTTTGTTTTTTATCCACTTTTCTTCTGAGCTTATGGAAATATTTCATTAATAACTTTAGCTATGGACAGACATCAGGGGAAAAATTTTTCTCTTTGCCATTATGTCCAGGCTGGTTCCTTCCCACGTACTGGCTGCCCAGAATTCTTTCTGACAGCCTAAATTGATGAGAACATGGTGATCACTGTGGTGAACCACAATACGCATTGCATACCACATTCACTAAGCTTATGCACAACATTCCAAAGAGAAGCATATAAAGTACTCTACATACCAACAGTGGACAAAGAAAACATACACATTATTCAACTAGATTTTTAACAATTTTAAACGATACTGATATATTAATTTTAACAACTTGATGTAATTGATCTTCACTATTAATGCTAAAAATCCCCATACAGACATGCATGTATAGCATGCCGGTAGTGTTGGATAACCTCCTGATGATGGCCAATGCTGGATGGAACATGAAGGCATATTTGTTTTATACACCCCTTAACTTGTTACACTTGATGAATTACTATTAAATATTTATATACTTAACATATTTATTAAAATGTCATAACTGGTTATTCAACTGACTTTCTTCCTTAGGGGTCTCACTGAGTCTAATAAGTACAACACTCAAAGATATCCTACATTTTCACAGATGTTTTTGCTTCCCCACTTGCCTTCATTAGCTTCTCTGCATGCCGTATATAATGATTTTTCCAAATCAATCGAGTTATCTGTTGTTATACAAAATACATTTGTACCATTGTTTCTACAATCTAAGGTAACATTCTGAAAGATTTGCACTAGAATGAATGTCAAATGGTTCTGCAAGTCCTACGGTTAGTCACTGGTTTCCCACTGTGGCGGCCCGGGTTTCATCCCGGGTCTAGTCAAGTGGGATTTGTGGTGGACAAAGTGGCGCTGGGGTGAGTTTTCTCAGAGTACTTCGGTTTCCCCTGCCAATCTTCTTTCCACCAAATTCTCCATCATCATATCACCTGGGGCTGACTACAATAGGCCAATTAGTGGCCGCCGTGCCAAGTGGACCCAGTTGGACTCCATGCCCCACTAAGTGAATTAAAAAAAAAAAGGCTGCCTACCTGGCAAGCTACATGCCTCAAAATCTTCACATTTTCAAAGATTTTAATGTAGTACAAACATGTTCTAACATTATGTGGGGTAAGACAGACTACTAATTACCTTTATTTTCAAATTCTCATGTTGGAAGAAAGAATACCTCTAATTGTCTTCATGAACTTAAAGTCCTTATAGGATGCCCCTCAGTAATGTGACAACTTCATCCCACTTAATCTACAAATTAACACAGATGCAACACAAAAACAAACCTTTCAAGTATTTTCCTCATTCTATTGCTTGCAAATAAATAGTACATAACAGCTATACTAATACAGAATCAATTGTTAACACTAGAAAAATATTCAAGTGTTAATTCGAGAATTCATAAAATACATCAAAATGACTTCCATCACACAGCTGTTATCAGTAAAAATACTATTTCTTCTAGCCTTGCTTACTCTACCATGAGATTGTTGCAGAAAACAAGCCATATCAGTGCCACAATGAGAGGAGAAAAAAGTTATACAAACACATCATATTCATGAGAAATTAAAGTAACAAACTCTTTCATTAAATCTTTTCATATTATTTATGAGTTTATTTAACAATAATGTCACTTGCAAAAACTATAGTAGAATTCCCGATTTGAAGTTACTTGATCCAAGACATTCCCTTGCTTGTGTTCCCAACTAAAGCTCCATATAATAATGTATAATACTCCCCCATTTAGTAACCAAAAATTCAGTTCCTACACGAAACCTGTATCTCGATTTAATATCATATTTTCCTGAATGGTAAACTAGGTTTCTTCCTTATTTCCAGAGTTAACAGTGTAAAATATATATTGATCGCTTCTAACCACTTGGGCTTTTAGTGGGTTTATATTTCTAAGATACATTAAATACTACCATTTGTACCACATCATGCCCACGACATAGCAATCGAGACAAATGTGTTTCAAGGTCAGGACCCACAAGCTGCAAATCTACCAAAGCTATATATATCAAAGCTGTAATTTCCCAGGAAGAGACATTACAGTGACGGTGAAGTCAGGAATGCTGAAAATGGAAATGTGCCAATGAAGAATCTAACTTAATGTGGATCGTGTTCAAGCAATGTGTACCTTTCATGTGTTTACTTTTAATAAAAGTATGACATTAATGCATAAAATCATGTATACAAAAAGTACAGATTTCAGTCAAATACAACTTGCATTGTAAAATAATCATAAGGAAATTAAGAAATCACATGTTTTGGCAATTTTAATTCACACCAAATACCTATACATTTCAAATGTGGACAGGAAACTTCAGCTATGCACAAAAGACGGCATCAAGTATGATACATGGACAAGGGTTAAGTATAAATACTGGGGCAGATGCAGGGAACTTTTACAAAAAAAAAACTCCTTGGATGCACCTGGAGATGTGAGTACACGTTTGTACAGAGAATCAGACAGTGCCAATTGTGTTGTCAGGTAGTGGTAGTGTTTGTATGCTGGTACTTGGCAAGGGAGAATCCCTCGCCATGCACCATCACACATACATAAAGGAGATCCCATAAACACAAAGGAATTTTCTGTTCAAGGTATGATGTAGTTTACAACTTGCTTCAGAAGGGTGATATAACTTGTATTTCAAACATTTCTTGAGTCTGTAAATTTAACAGAATACAAAGAAAACAACTGATGACTATGAACTAATCATACTTGAAATTTGACTATACTGTACTGGTTTTGTATCTGTAATAAACGATCACTGGATCAATAAGTTATAAAAAGTAAAAAAGAATTAAATTTGTGGCATGTTTTTTCCATTTTGCTATTTAAAAATGGACCCTGTAAGAACCCCCCAAAATGTCAGCAGTCGTCAATCGAATGATGCTACATAAAGAAGTTAACGAACTCTCTGGTTAGAAAATTCAACATCACCAAGTGCAAAACCTACCACTGAATCAATGCTTACAATGCAATCTAGGGTGTAAATCCTCACAATTTACAATCACTTATTATTATTATTATTATTATTATTATGTTTCACATGACCTCAAGTTGAAATTAAATCCCTGCCAGCATGGTTTCACAAAATGTAAATCCACCACCACCAATCTAGTAACGTATCTTGATTTTATTACTCCCCTAGTTGGCTCTCAACGTCAAGTGGATGCCATTTATTTTGACCTAACTTCTGCTTTCAACCTCGTTCCCCACTCTTTGCTTCTTCACAAACTGAGTGCCCTTAGATTTTCTGGTGGTTATGTAAACTGGACACACAGTTACCTAACCAACAGACAATCGTGGGTCCGTATTGGTGAAACTATTTCATTGCCCTTTGAAGTATTGTCCGGTGTTCCACAGGGATCTGTTCTTGGCCCTCCGCTTTTCAATGTCTACATAAATGACTTGTGTGATTCAATTAAGCACTCCAGGTACCTACAC